ATTTATGTGTATGTGTATGTACCCATGTGAGTTGATGGGCACCATGGCCATGCAGGTGCTGCTGAAGGAGTGGAGGTCACCTGATTTGAATGCTAGACACTGAACCCTGGTCCTCTGCAATAGACCTAAGTGCTCTTAACTGCTGAGCCATCTCTCCAGTCCCTGAATGATAACTTTCATCAAATTACTTTTCTCAGTCAGCTGTATTTCTAGTGTAAAGCTCACTTACTTATTCATGATACATTACTAGGTTTTTCCTGTGGCTAAATTGGGTTTTCTAATACTTTGTTGAAGATTTTGTTGCCTACATTTTGGGATATATCAGCCAGTGACATTCTTATATTATATTGTCTTTATCTGGTTTGATATCATTGTATAACTGGCCCGATAAAGCAAGTTAAAAGTGCATGTTGGTTGGGTGTGGTGCTTCCATTCTTTCGCCTGGCACCTCCTAGGTGGTTGTCTGTGTCAAGATGAAGCTGAATATCCCCTTCCCACCAGCTACTGGGGGAGGGCATTTCTGGACTGACAGATGCTACTGTACTATAGTAACTGGCTCAAGGGACTGTAGTGATGAGGCAAGTAGGCCTGCTTTTCGTCCCACCTGGCTCCCGCACGGCTAGCTTTACACCCGAAATAACAACACACAAATTGTATTCATTTTAAACACTGCCTGGTCCATTGGCTCTAGCCTCTTATTGGCTAACTCTCACATCTTGACTCAACCCATTTCTAATAATCTGTATGTCACCACGAGGTCGTGGCTTACCAGGAAAGATTTAGCATGTCTGACCTGGCAGCTTCATGGCGGGCAGCTCTCAGCCTCTGCCTTACTCTGCTTCTTTCTCCCAGCATTCTGTTCTGTCTACTCCACCTATCTAAGCTGCTGTCCTATCAAAGGCTAAGGCAGTCTCTTTATTTGACCAATGAAATTAACACACAGGCAGAAGACCCACCTACATCAGGGAACTTTCAGTTTCTTGTAACTGGCAGTTTTTCTGCCTTCTTCTGGGGGCTATTTGCTAGTGTCTAGAGGCATCTTTTTGGCCAACCCAACTTGGAACTTCGAAGATACTACTGGCATCTACTAGGTAAATGCAGGAATATTGTCAACAAACACACAAGACAGCCGGCGCCCTTCTCCCAAAAGTAACTCTCCATCCAGTGCACTAGTGGTCTTGACATGAATCCTGCACTGCATTGTTGCTGATTTTCTGTCTTATTTTCATTCATTCATTCGTTCATTCATTCCTTCATTTCAGCTGTCCTGATGTCTGCCATTTGTAAACAAGTCCTATGTAGAACCAAGCCCTTTCTCTGAAGGTGTAGGGTCGTCTACATAGAAGCTTTATTTTTGAATCTTACAGATGTTAAGATTGTGGCACCTTCGTTGTGAATCAGTACCAGTTGGTTGCACGGTCTCCGGTTACCTCTTGTCATTTTCTCTCCCTGGAGTCTGCTGTGTCCGGCACTGATGGATCATGCATTTGTTACTGTCCTCGTGGCTGCAGCCTGATAAAAAGCAACTTCAGGGAGGAGGGCTTTACTTTGGCTCAAGGATCTGGAGATGCAGTCCACTTGGGCAGGAAGGCATGATCAAGCTGCTGTCAAATAGCAGAAAGCTGCTTGCTTGAATCTCCAAAAATCGGGAAGCAGACAGAGGAGTTGAACCCACACAGTTGGCTTTCTCCTTTTCCACTTTTACTTGTTCTGAGACTCCATCTCATGGGAAAGTGGCCCACCCCTGGTATTCAGGGAATGTCCTCCTCACTCAATTAATCCTCTTCAGAGGAGCCCCCAGGAACACACCCAGAGGTGTGTCTCACTAATGCCCTAAGTGCTTCTTAATCCAACCAGGTTGATGGTAGGAACGAACTGCCACAAAGTATCCTCACAGTACACCTCTTTCATTTCTCTTCCATTGTTTCAGTCATCCGTTGTCAAATGATTCTTTGCTGAACTGTCTTCCCCTGTAGTTCTTAAACAGCTGAACATACCAGAATGCCGTTGCACTGTCCTCTAGAATGCATAGCAGCAGATACGCATGCGTATTGCTATTGCAGGCTGCAGAGGGAACCCCTGGGTACCTCTTACAAAATGCAGAGGTTCTGCAGCTGAGACCAGCCATGTCTGTCAGGAATCCTCATGAATCATCATAGCAAACACGCTGCCAGACTCTGTTGCTTTCTGTTTCTTTCTGTCTCTGGGTAGTTCCCTGAAGACTTCGAGGATCCTGATAGAGGCGGGAATGTACTCTGCACTCTGGGTCTGTGTGTTCTGAACAGTCCCTGGTATCCATGGGCCTTTCTAATGAAGTCTTTTCTTAGCATTGCCACAATAGTCTAGTTGGGTTTTGTTTTGTTTTGTGTTTTGTTTTTTGTGTTTTGTTTTGTTTTGTTTTGTTTGGCTTGGAAAGACCCAGGAGGTTGATATTAGAGGTCAGACAGACAGATTGCTGACGTTCCTACCAGTTTGTCTTATGCCCATGGCTTTAATTTTGCTGTGACCAAGCCTAAGTAGACTGGAAGAGGTAGCTGATGCCGACTAACACTGTAGAGACACTGACCTAGTGGCAATGTTGTGTATGTTTCTCGCTGGCAGGATGCAGTTCATTTATATTTTCATTCCATCTTGACAAATCTATATTTTAACTAGTTTGTTTATACCACTTACATTTAATGTGAGTATTGATATGTTCAGATATAAGTATACTATTTCTTTACTCTTGTTCTCTCAGCTTATTGTTTCTATTTTATTCTTCCTCTTTTTGGTTATTTGAACTTTGTTTTATTCTATTTCAATTTGTCTATTGCATTTTTCTTATCATACACACACACACACACACACACACACTGAATCTTTGTATCTTTTTGACTGCCCTAAGATTGCAATAGACACACTTAACTTTTACAGATAGCTTGGATTCAAAGCTTTACCACATCAAGCGGTCCGTAGAACCACTGGCACCATCTCGGTTCCTTTCCTCACACTCTGAGCTATAGTCTTAAGTGTCACGTGCACAGAAAACCTCACCGGAAGGTATGACAGCATTTGTTTTCAACCCTCACTTTTTTAAATGCCAAAATGATTCTATTTTGTTTGGAACCCCTCGACTTCATTCTCCAATAAGGTAAGAATCCTACATGTCACTCCAACCACAGTCCTTGTCTTAGTTGGAGTTTCTATTGCTGTGAAGAGACACTATGACCACAGCAACTCTTATAAGGAAAGCATTTATTTGGGGTGGCTTGCGTACAGTTCAGAGGTGCAGTCCATTATCATCATGGTGGGATGCAGCGGCATGCAGGCAGATGTGGTACTGGAGAAGGCACTGAGAATCCTACGTCTTGCAGGCAACAGGAAGTAGTCTGAGACACTAAGCAGTAGCTTGGGCATAGGTGACCTCAAAGTCCACCCCCAAAGTGACACAGTTCCTCCAACAAGGACACACTTCCTAATGGTACCACTCCTTTGGGGGCTGTTTTCTTTCAACCCACCACAGTCCTCCTGGTAGCCTATCTTTTAGCCTTGCATATAACCAAACCTGGATTTCTTCTTGCTCCACACAAGTTCCTTCCTTACTAAACTCTAGGAGCCTCTGGCTTGAAAAGTATGGGGGTTTTTTCCTTACCAATCGGTCAAGAACTATCACAAGAAATTTCTTTGTATTTTGGAGCAACAGCAATAGGATTGGATAAAAAGGTTCTCAGTTGAACATGTGGTTGTTGACTATACTGTGCTGGTCTTATACAGTGCTCGCAACTCTCAGTCATTTAGATCTTGGAAAGGAGGGCAAGGAAGACCAATACCCCTTAGACCACTTCCCTCTCACATGCTACATCTTAATGTGTGTAGCCCTGGTGGTGACAACCTTCATGGCCTCACAAGTCTCTTTACACACATATTTTATTCCTAAATAACACAGATGACACACTTTCCCGTGCCGTTTAACTAGCAAGGGTGACTTTTTGCGCACAGAACAAGGTATTTGGAAATCAAAGTGGGGAGTGTGCTCAATCCAGGACGAATGGGTCGTGAGACACCCAAACAGCAGTGCAGCTGGTGACGAGCAGCCAACAGTGACGTGAGCCACGACTGGGACATGGACCATCCCTATGGCTGGACAAGGCATTCAGAACACTGCTCACAAGGCAAAGGCATTTCCGTGGGCATACTCTCTTCCCGTATTCACTGCCATTCTGCGGTGAAAGCGTTATTCGCAGCCAGAGACGAGGAAGCAGGGGCTTAGCGTGCACAGTGTGTAAGAACCACGGAGCCAGTGTTGGTAGGACTGGTGCAGCCACTTCACTCCTTCTCACGCTGGTCTTCAGACTGGGGGTCATCTTGTGCTAGATATGGAGTCAGGATCCAAATCCTGGGCCTGGTCTTTTCCAGTTCTGTGACCTTAGCTGACCTGGACAAGCCTGGGGCAACTGTGAGTCAAACGGCTCCGGCCTGTGCAGCGCTTCAAGCTTTGTGTGCTGGGGTGTCCACACTGCATGCTGTCCCCTTTCCCAAGTCACTGCTAGAAGCCACATTTGCAAATGAGGACGGAAGCTTGAAAGAGTCCAGAAAGGTGTTACTGCATGGGAAGTGGGAATTTTTTTTACTTTCCCTTCTAACCTTCTAACCCCAGAGCAGGTGTTTCGAACCATTCTGTTTTATAATATTGTTAGGGAAGCTTTAGTAAAAGGTGAGCCCTTCCCCTAAGAAAGAAAGGAAGAAAGGAAGGAAGAAAGAAAGAAAGAAAGAAAGAAAGGAAGGAAGGAAGGAAGGAAGGAAGAAAGAAAGAAAGAACCTTCCAGCCTCCCCCAAAGATTCAAGAATCACATTTTACGTAACTGTATAATTTTTAAAAGCCAGATTATTGCTGGCATAACCAAAATCCCTTCCACTTTTTAAAGCCGTTTGTCCTATGCAGGGGTTGTGGCCATGCATGAGAAACAGCAGGTGGTGCCAGATGACAGGTGGTGTGGGAGCCGTCCCCGGTGGGAGGCGCGAGCAGGCGAGCAGGCTGGCAGCTGCCGAGATCTTTGAGCGCTGGCGCCTCGCTCTCAGAAGCTCCGGATCCAGACACGCGAGGGCTGCTTTCTCAGGGACAGCAGCTCGGGCTGTGGAGGGAGGACTCGGGCTTGTCCTCCTCCTCTACATATTGGCTTGACTCTGCTCTGACCCCCACCAGCGCGGCACAGTAAGTAGGCATTTGTTTTTGCTGTACCACTCCCCAGCCTCCTCCCAGCGCTTACCTCCCTGTCATCCCCAGGACAACCCTGTTCTCTCTAATTATGTCCCACCCGCAGGATTGACAGGAGAGATTCAGTTGTGCTGGGCTTTGGAGGGTGGGGTGAAAGCAATGCTTGACTTCAAAAGGGAGCCGGAGAGAAATAAATGCAATTTGTTTATTTAGTTGGCAATCTTGCAATATGGGGGCTGCTAACTTTCCATGAAAAAAAAAAAAAGCCCTTGGCTATTGAGGAAATGGAGGTATTTAATGGCTGAATAACAAGATCAGGTTCAACACAGCCTCTTTCTGATTTAGAAACCCAAATCTCATGTACAATCTACATATTATGTAAAAAAAAAAAGGTACTGCGAGAGATACTGAATGTATTTAATTACGTTTTTAGAAATCAAGGAAGAAAAGGCAAAAATAGCAGTGTGGGTGGTGAGGTGAAGTATACCCTACTGCAGGGGAACCCAGAATAATGGAGTTTCCTTTTGTGCTGAGAACAAGCTGCCAGTGGGGTTCTGGGGATGTGTTAGCCATAGTGTCTTGCTATTTCTCTAAGCTTGTATTTTTTGTTTTTAAATGAGGGTCTGAGGGGGTTTTTTTCTTCTTCTTTTTTTTTTTGACTGCTCCCTAATTTGAGGGTTGGTAAACTCGGTGGGCAGTTGGCACACTCTGCTGGTTAATGAAGTTTCCTTGGACAATGGGAATCATGTCAGGAAATCTAGTGAGAGGTTGACGGTTACCACCAGATTGGATGCTGCTGGAGGGGAACGGTAGTGGCCGGTCGTCAGCCCCTCACATTCCTGCCGTAACCAGAATCCTGCTGCTCGCCTTAGGTCTGGGAATAAAAGCAGAAGTATGGTGAAGCTGAACGGCAACCCTGGAGAGAAGGGGGCCAAGCCGCCTTCGGTGGAGGATGGCTTCCAGACGGTCCCCCTCATCACGCCCTTGGAGGTTAATCATTTACAGCTGGCTGCTCCCGAGAAGGTAATAGGTGATCTTCCTTCCCTTGCCCTCCCCCAGCTTACCCCAACCAGCAAGAGATTTTACCCCCAAATACTTTCATTCTCCCAGCCATCAAATAGGCTCCCATCCTTGGAAAACGCTCTATCCAGGGGCGAGAGCTCCTGTGTTACTGCGGATTTACGGTGTTTGTTCATATCTACATATACAGGCAAACAAATTGATGTTTTCTTGTTAAGATTTTATCACGGCAGATAAATACACACAAGCTTCTACATGGGGATGAAGGAAAAAAAAAAACATGTCTCAATTTTCTTGAGGTGTTCCAAATATTGATTGGTACAGATAGGAAGCAGAGACTTGAATTCAGTTTTGCAGCTTGCACCTGCTAAGGACGGCCCTGTCCTAGGAATTGATTATAAAAAGACGAAGTTACAAAACCCTTCTTCAGATGAACACAGTGTATCATGGTTAATGCTGGTCCCAAGCCTCACAAAGGGTGGAGAGGGCCAGGGAGATGCAGAGGGAGGGCTGGATAGGTAAGCTACAGTGGAGAATATCTAAATTAGAGTCTTGAAGGTGAGTAAAGTCTTTCAGGTTCCGGGAGGAAACAGTATTTAAGGCAACGATGGAAGCGAGTGTGCAGAGTGTGGGAAGCTCGCAGGGACAGAGCGGCTGCAGGAGAATGTCTGGGGAGAGGAGACTGGGAAGCAGCCTCGGGCTGATGGCCCATCTCCTGAAGGAAGAAACGGAGGTGACAAAGGGATGGCATCCCACAGACATAGGTAGGAGAGCGTGTGTTAGGACTGCCCGTGTGAGGTCTGCCCGAGAGTGCAGAGGCTTTAGGGGGTGAGCTATTGCCCATCATGAGAGGTTTGCAGGTAAATGATCCTGCCCCCAGGCTGGAGACGGAACAATGGATCGTCCCATCTGTTCGATTTTTCTCATTGGCATCTCCAGGAGGGTACTGTGCGTCTTAACCACTTGGCTCCATCCAATCAATGGAGAGGAACTAAACCGAGATGAAGAGCCAGCTGATTGGCTGGGGCTGAGTCATTTGTTTTGAAAGCCCAGAGGTTTTTGATAGAAGAATGTGTCAGGGTGGGTGGTGGAATTAGAGTCTTGAGCTATCCTGAGAAACTAATAAAGCCTTTTGAAAAGAGATTTGAACGCCATGGCAGCTAAGGAAGTGTGAAGAGACACACTGAGTACTCGCCTCAGGCATGTCAGACATACTCAGTTTTTGCTTCATGACAGAAGCACCAGGCTATTTAGAAACTCCTGTTATTGAGGTCATCCCCCACCCCCGACCAAAGCAATTCTGACAGAATCTCTGAGATGAGATCCAGCCATCAACCTAAATGCTGTCTCCCCACAGGACCCCGTGGGCGGCCAAAGTCGAGCAAACTCGATTTCAGACCCATAATACAACCTGGGAGTCTGGGATTGCAAACTCATATTACAAGCCCGAGGTTGGGAGGCTCCAGATGCACAGAAAGCCCAGGTGGGAATGTCTAAACCCCATCTAGGCCCCAGTGCAGATTAGCGAGGAAAAGACACGTGTCTTGAGGTTCTTCAAGTTAGTGGCCACGTGCATGTGTCTGAGAGGTGGGTAATGACAAGGGATAGTGGGAGGCCACCTCCCCACAACCTTCCACACAGCTACAGGCCATCTAGAGAATAGTCTGCCCCCTCTCCCTTTACTCTCCTAACTCCTGCTGAGAGTTCTTTCCTCCCACCCAGCAACCAGTCCAGGCATACCAGGGAGTCCTTCCAAGGCCAGACTAATCAGCTCTCTCATATTGTGTGTTGAAAGATGCAGGAGTCCCTGCAGAGGCATACCGAATGCTCCCTCTGGGGCTCCTCACTGACTCTCTACCAAGTGGGTGTTAGCTTCCTTGCTCCACAGAGGAGGAAGCTCCTACCTCAGGCTGTCAGAACAAAATCAGATATGGCCTCAGATGCCAAGTGGCACAAAGCCAAGAATAGAAAAAGAGGATAAACATGTTCAAGTGTTTTATGGAATGCTAAGAACTCTCCCAAGCACACGCATGCTCTTGCACACACACGCATACATGCACACACGCACGCACCACACACTTTTGCTTCAGTCTCTCACTAGTGAATAGACCCTGGTAAAGGAATAGCTATCTCTCTTGATCCAGTGTTTAAAGAAACTGTACCTTCTCGAAGCAAAAGTCGGTGAACGGTGAAACATCTAGATGTAGAACTTGGGTAGTGTTGTTCCAGAACCTTCCACTTCAGGAGCAAGACATGAACTCGGTCTGTGAGTCCACAGATTTGATCTGTTTCTGACTCAGTCAGGAACTCACAACAGGGATCAGCCGTGTCTTAGGCATGCGTCTTCTCTGAGCTGGGAATTATCTTAGTGGTTTTCCGTGCTGATCACTTAGGTTTTATTACGATTTGTTTCCGTTTTCAGGGCAGCGTGTTAGAGCTAGTGTATCACACGTGCTAGGCAAGTGCTCTTCCATCAAGCTAGGTCTCCAGTGCAGATTTTATGCTCTTTACAAAAGCAAAGACGATTTCCCCCCTGACAGCAGAACAAATGGTGTTAAAGGAGAATCCGATCCAGAGGCCAGTTTCTCTAAATGACAGCTACGATCGTGAACTGCAAGAAACATTTTCAGGAGGATTCAAATCCTTATTTATATTTTCTAAATATTTTAATTGTTCCTTAATAATTTTATGTATGTATGAAATGTATTTTGATCATACACCCCCATTTCCATTCCAGCTCCCCCCAGATCTCTCCAAAATGACTTCCTCCCAGCTTCATGCCCTCATTTTCTTCATTTTTATTTTTTTTTAAAAGCTCAGATTCCAATTAATGTTGCCCATATGAACATAGGTATAAGACCATCCACTGTGGGCACAGGGAACCTACTAGTGGCCACGCCCACAAAGAAAAATGACTCCTCTTCCAGCAGCCATCGACTGCCAATCCCACTTGGCTGGGGATGAGGCACCATGAGCCCCTCCCTCACCCATGCTGGAATCTTGCTTAGTCGGTTTCTGCTGACATAGCAGAAGCCTGGTGCTAGACACTTTATAAAGAAAAGAGCCACAGCTAGCCCAGTTTCCCAGACTGGAGGCCCAGAAAGCACAGTGCCAGCCATGGCTGGTCTAGGACATGGTTAGGACATCATGCTGGGAGCGTGTGGAAAGGGAAGAGATCGATTATACGGTGAAACAGGAGGCAAGCGTCTTCCTTGGTTCTCTGAGAAGTGAGTTCTAAAAGAACCACACTAATTCCTTCTGAGGGCAGTGCCCCCGGTGACCTCATTATCCTTCACTAGACCCCGCCTCTTGAAAGTTCCACATCACTCAACATAGCTCTCCCAAGGACCCAGTTCTAGCACATGGTCCTTGGGGAGACACTCAAACCATAGTAGTAAGCCTGTCTGAAGGCATGCCCTGGGTGAAGCCATGCCCTGGGTGAAGCCATGCCCTGGGTGAAGCCATGCCCTGGATCACACAGGGCACTCCTGTCTGTGATTTTAGTTCATCTTCCAGAAGCTCCACGGGGGTAGACATTAGTGTACACATCTCACCAGTGAGGAAACCAAGATTTAGAGCAGTGAAATGTCACAGACAAGAAGTAGAATGTCAGAGCTGATGCCCTAAAGAATTATCCTTCCCCAAATGCCAAAAAAACCCCAAAAAATAAAAACAAAAAAACGCACACACAGAAACCAAGACTAGGCAGCATATCTAAATATCACAGACAAGGAGTAGATCACAGGATTGAAGGCCTAGTGTCCTGGAATCCCAACTCTCTCCTGCAAATTTCCATGTCTCAAAGATGCTGGCTCTGTTCTTCCCTCAACATATTCTCCTTAGCTGCGCTAGTTTGATAGGACAGTGTTCCTCTTCCTTAGCCACGTTCCAACAGAACACCCCTTGGAGACCTTCCTTGACCACCATCAAGTTCAGCTGTAGTTCTAACAATCATACTAAAAGGTACCAATTCTTCCATCCATTCACTCACCCAGAAAATCCTGCGCCTAGCTGAGCATACACGGCCATGATAAGCCGAGAAGGAGTTTGGTGGGAGATGCTAAGAGATGGGGAGACAGGAGGTGAGAATGAGAAGGTGAGCACCAGGTAGGCCCCAGCCTAAGGAAAGGGTTTAATTCAGGAAGGCAATGGGATCTGGAGTTCCATTCTATGATGTTTATGCTGGAGGCTGTGGGCCACCCACAGACGATGGACAGGGTCAGCCCCACAATGGTCCCTAAGAAATTTTCTCTTCACTTCCATTCATTCTTCTAGGGAGCATTGGAACAGCTAACCCCAGTCAAGGTGGCCAGGCTCCCTGAAGGTACAGGGGAAAGAGCAGAAGCAGGAGCCTGACTCGACACCGCAGCTGGGGCGTGAGGCAGCGGTGCTGTGGGCACTGACACCATGGCAATAGGAGCTGGGTGGATTCTCACCAAGACCCGGTGCCGCCGTGGCTTGTGGAGAACTTATTCTGGCTCTTTTGCATTTGGTCACTTAGCCCGAGGTCACTGGCTCTGCATGAACAGCTTTAGTCTTGCCACATAGCAGGAAGAAGGAACTTTTTAATAAACCTCCCTCTTCTGTGTTTAAAAATGACTTTCATCTCTTCACCAGATGTGTGGGGAAATAGACTCAGAGCCAAGCAGGCAAGTGTCCTTTGGGTTATGGGGAAAAGAATGGCCCCCATAGGCTCATATATTTGAATTCTCGGCTCCCAGTTGTGGAAATGTTTAGGAAGGATTAGGAGGTGTGGCCTTGTTGGAGGAGGTGTGTCACTGGGGGCTAGGCTTGTAAGTTTTAAAAACCCATGCTCTTCCCAATTAGCTCTCTCTCTGTGTGTGTCTCCCTCTCTCTGTTTCTCCCTGTCTTATGAAGTGTAAGCTCTCAACTACTGCTCCGGCACCATCCCTGCCTACCTGCTGCCATGCTCCCCAACATAACAGTCATGGACTCATCCTCTGAACCTGTAAACCCCAGCAAACTCTCTCTTCTCTAAGTTG